TCTTGGTGCAATCACATGACTACAGGAGCTGGGGCTTTAATAAAAATGCAGAGTCACATGAGGTTGATGGTAAAGTGCATGTGTTGGCAAGACCCTTTTAAAAACCTCCCCCTTTCCCATAAATCATCTGCATTTAGAGGGTTCAGGTACTGGAGAGCACATTCATTTTCCTATAGAAACAGCTGGTGTACTTATCGTTGACTGGTACATGGCCTTTGCTGCATTGTTTGCAGCTCCCGCTGGACATCCAGTTCTGCTGTCTTCCTGCTGCCATGGGCACTGCTGACAGGTCTGTGACATATGATAGGTCATATGCCCACTCCCCTCTCCTCCAGCTGACCAGGGCTATTCAACAAGCCCTGCTGCTGTGATGCACTGCACACCGTGGTTGGGAGGCAGATGTTCCCTGGGTTTCCAATTCGCGGTGCACTGCAGCAGGGGAGGGGGTCTCTGCTGGCAAAGGCTACTCCCCGTGCCGAACGTGATGGGAATTCTGGGCAGGAGGCCTGAGTGCAATGGGAACTGTCGGAGAGCCCAGGAGAGACCTGGGGAGAGGGAGGGATGCAGTGAGTCAGAAGGAAGGAAAGCTGGAATGTTTTGCCAGTGGAGACAGGAGGCTTTATTAATTGACTGGGTTTTCTGGGCTGTTTGGCCTCCTCTAAATCCTCTGGGTTTTAGCTGCTATCTCTCCGGACAACGCTGTCTGATTCAGAAACAAGCTGCTAATCGAGTGTGTGGAGAGGAAGGCAGGGCCCTTACACTCAGTTAGAGAGATGGTGGGAAATGTTTTGTTAGTTTTTGCTGCCATACTGATCTTCCTTCCTTCCTTCCTTTTTCTTTTTCTCCCTCCTTTCACATCTCCCTTTCTCTCGCTATTCTCTCATGCCTACATACATAACACCTTCTTCTTTAAGCTGTTTTCCTCTCTTCCCCCAAAACCTGTTTGATCTGCTCCTCATCTTTCACCTTCTTTCCCTCCATCTGACTTGTTCCTTCCCCCCTCCATTTCCTGTTTCCTCTCCCCACATCCCAACATTGTTATCTCATTTTTCAGCAGCTGTCGACTGCATGGTGGGTTCCTGGGGTCCCTGGAGTAAATGTGGCTCCCTGTGTGGGGTTGGCAGCAAAGACCGAACGCGGCAAGTCACAGTGCCACCTCGAAACGGAGGGACCCCCTGTCCAGACCTGAAGCAGCGGCGAGGGTGCTTTGGGGATAGCGCCGTATGTGATACAGCTAAAGGTAAAGCAGAACATTTGGGGGATGTTCCCCTGCCCCCAAGGATATGGCTGCCTGACTTGCTTTTGGTCTTGTTGGAAATCCTGGCTGTGGCTCAGGCAAGCTGTCAAAGGCAGTCCTCCAGGCCTGGGAAGAACTGGTCCCAAGCTCTTCTACCCCCACCAATAAACACTACATATGGAGGGTGCCTGACACAATTCTTTCCATAGCAAAGACCTTGTTAGGATGCTTTCTCCATCTGCTGAGTGATCGCAGTCCTCTGTTTGTACTGGAGACATGGCAAAGGCCCCATCTGCCCACTGGGGCTGCACCAGAGAGTGGAGACTGCTTTTATTGTGGGGCAAGAAATGGTCTCTGTTGGCATAGGGGTTGAGCACAGCTTGCCTGGCCATACTGGGAAGCAAAACCATTTTAAAACAGAGCTGGAGAATGGTAGCATGTGGCCTGCCCATGCTGCCAGTGACAGATGAGTCAAGGCACTTACTACGCAGAAAACGAGCTCTCTTACCCTGGTTATGAGGGTGCTAATGAATGCAATTTGACCCAAGAGGCCATGTGGTTGGTGCCTTGCTGTTATATAATACTTTTTTTCCTGGTAGGTCACAAAGTGCTCAACAAAGGAGGTCAGATGGGGAACACGAAGTGGGGAAGTGACTGGCCTACTGTCACCCGGCAGGCCAGGGGTAGAGCTGGGACTAGAACCAGGTCTATTTAGTTACAGCCTAGTTGTTTGTCCACAGAGACAGGTAAACTAGCAGTAAATGAGGCCTCACTGCCTCACAGAGAGCTCCATTTACTTTTGGTCTTGTCTACACTGCAAATTGAAATCATGTCATAACTAGGATCCCCACCTGAACTGTAACTGTGGTGTAGATGGGTAGCTCTGAGGTGCTGAGCCACATACAGCCTCAACAGGTTCTGATGGAGCCAGGAGTGAAAGGTTGAACTGCTTTTAAGATGAATCTAGGCATGCTCATGAAAGAGATGTGCCTGCAACAGCAGGGAGCTGGTTCAATGGTCCAGTGGTTCCTATGATGTTGAAGGACCTGTGAGATCACTGACACCTTGCAATGTGCTGTTACTTTTCCTGCATCATGCATTATAAAGCTAAAGATGACTGGATTTTCAGCAAAAACCTAGATTTTATCAAAGCAGACAAGGTTCTTTGGGTGAATCTGACATCATAGTTTCATAGATTTAGGGTCAGAAGGGACCTAGTAGATCTTCTAGCCCGACCCCCCGCCAGGGCGGGAGAACAACAAAACCCCAAAACAAAAACGGGACTCAAATGAGTCCAGCCAGGTAGGCATCCAGCCTCTTCTTAAAGACCCCCAGGGTAGGGGCCAGCACCACTTCCCTTGGAAGTTGGTTCCAGCTCCTAGCCGCCCTAACTGTGAAG